GGTGATGGAAATGTACATACACACACATTAAAGTATTTTTATTAAGCCAAATGATCACAAACTCACTACAGGGACATAATATGTTGTGAAGTACAAAAAGTTTTAAAAACCAGCAAAGGGAGGGAGAAAATCAAACAAACTATTTAAATATTTACCTGCTCAAACTATTTACGTATAAGCTATAAGAACAGAGATCTGCAGAGAAAGCGTGAGAGAGAAGGTCAAACAAACTATTTTTCCCTGATTGTCAGAATTGGTCACAAAATTTGAGTCACTTTTTATAAATAAAGACACTAAGAGCGTCTGAAAAGTCTGTAATCTATCGAAAAAGCCGCCAAGTTTGCGACACTCGCTATGATTTCAGTGTTGGTAGAGCTTGTGCTGGTGCCACCTCACGCATTACAACACATAACAATAGAGAGTCTTTGTTCTGCTTCATCAAACTAAATGTTTCTTCAGACTGAGTAATATTTCCTGATAACTGAGGAAACCAAAGAGAAAACCCCCAGAAGCTCTCGCTGCCCCTCGAGTCAGCCTGGCCTGCAGCCGCTGCCCGACGTCCCCCTCCATCTATCTGCTGCCTCCCACTCACACAGCAGGACAACACTGCACTTACGTAACAGAGAAACAGAAAAGAGATGATGCACAGAAACTGAAAGACTGAAAGAAGAGGGAAGGAGAGTGGCTAACCGCGAAGCCTCCATATTTTCCACTTTACAGCTTCTCATTAACCGCACTTTCTTCTCCTCGTCTTCCTCTTTCACCTCCACCGACTGACCGAGGTTTCTACATTTAATGTTGCAACCTGCTGCACATAAGCAGTCACAGTCTTTGTTGCAGTCCACATGTTAAGTTAAAAGACATGTTTTTTCACACATTAAGCTGAGTTGAGGAAATGACAACTCCTTTTTGTTCTCGGTGACGATGCTCGAGGTTATTTAAGTGGAGCGAGTAAAGCTCTTTCTGCTCTGGTACTTTTTTTTTTTTTTTAACCACAACATACAAGCTCACATCCCCGCGATCACTGGGAGATCCTGTTTCAAAGACAACTTACTGTAATAACACACTGACTGTAACACTGAAACACTGCAAGGCTTAATGTACACTCTGGACCCAGACACCGACAGCGAGTAATGCACTGTGGTTTATTTTGGTCAGTCATCAGTAGTCGCATATTGGCAATACAATGCTAAACTCACCTGAGGGTCTGTATGATGTTATTATTTACAGAAAACCAGCATTATTCCATGTTATGATGTGGATTTAAAGAAAGTTTAGTTTGAAAGATAAGGATTGACTCAACAAACAGTCGTTTCACAAAAATATCCCAACTCAAGGTTGACTTACTCGCCTTTTTTTATGGATCTTTCAACCTCATCTCACTGTCTCTCGTCGCTGGGAGAGAGCTGAACGCTCTGGAAACAGTGGACCTCGAGTCAAACCACAACCCATAGTTTAATTAAAGATATAACATGTTCGTGTGTGTGTGTGTGTGTGTGTGTGTGTGTGTAGCAACACTGTGTCCTCAGAACTTGTCAATTTGAACTGCTGCTTCGAAAAACAGGCTCATACACACATTCACACATTCTCAAACAAAGTCACTCACACGCCCAAACCAAAGCGAGGGATCCGACGGCCGTTCCCAAAATTTTCCCGGAAACATGCACGTGCATGTGTGTTTATGCGTGTCGGTGTGTGTCAGAATGTGATTCAGTGGGAGCGACCAGCTTTAAAGCAGCACTGTTAATGTCATCATTGATTTCCAAGGCCAGCTTATAGAAAGACTGTTTGTTTGTTTATGTTGTAAGATGGGCGTCAAGGGAGACGACATGAAAACGTGTGTGTGTGTGATGCAGGAGAAAAAAGATCAGAAGAAGAGACATAGATGGTGTTTGTGTCTGTGTTTTATGTCGGAGGAAGAAAAGCAAAGTGAACGCCTTCAAATCTGCATAATCGTGTGTGTGTGTGTGTGTCTCTCTTCCCCTCCCTCTCTCCTTTTTGTAAGTTGTCATGACACACCTTCCTATCAGGTATATAGACATCAGTCCTCCTCTCTCTCTCGTTATTACTCCGTCACTTACACTGCTCTCTCTCTCCCTCTCTCTCTCGCTGTGTGTTTTCAGTCTAAGATGCCCTAGGCCGGGAGAAGGGAAATGTAAATGGCTTCCAAAGTAAAAGATGCTGTGGTGTGGTACCAGAAAAAGGTAAGACCATTTTTTTTTTTTTGCATTTGCACGCTGGCTTGGTTTTTGCATGTCACGAAAAAAGAAAAAAGCTATATTAAAATGTTTTTACATATTTTGCAGCATATTTTCAAAAAAAAAAATCATACTTCATGAGAAATTTGAAAGGATAAAGTGAGATTCAATTATATGGCCACATTCACTCTTAAATATTTTAACTCTAGGCTTTGGGAAATAAAGAGTTACTCAAGAGAGCCTCACCTTAGATGGTGCAGAATTTAATAAGCAGTCTGTTCGTGCTGAAAGCCTTCATCAGCATGAGTGTTGTTGAGCCTAGTTGTGCAGGCATGTTAATCTGTTATTTTTTATCATGTTGTATCTTGTTTTTCTGTTAAAATATTTTCTTGTCAAGAGGAATGCCTTGTCTTTTACTGCAAACCAAATCTACCTACGTGTACAAATAAAGTAACCTAACCTTAACACATACAGTATGTGGATGTGCAACCATGTACTAAAACTACGTAAAGACGAGGGATTGTCTCTAGATAGTTGTTATGCTTACAAAGAGTATCCTTAATGTTTTAGTGATGCTGAATGATTCAATTAAAGTATTATTTAAAAGTGGGAGACTAAAACATTGTGCTCAACCGAGCAAAATAAAGCCGAGTACATATAACTAATGTAAAGTCTAACGTTTGCTCAATGAAGAATGTTTTTATTCGCTTTCCACACTTCCTGTTCTCGCGCACTAGAGCCTGATAACGATGTATTGACCAATATCTTATATAAACACGTGACATAAACAAAGATTTTTGATAAGGAGGGGTTTTTTTAAATTTGTACTGGGCGGCATTTTACTGTTGAAGTTGTCAGGACTCTTAAACAAACAAACAAACTGTAAACAAACTTATCGCAACGTTGTTTCTAGATTACACCAACGGTATCTTTGGCATTTCCCTACTGCAGTTCCTTATCGCCCGTCTTAAATACAGAAATCAATATATCAGTGATGAACAAACGTCGATCGATTGCTCTAGGTCTGAAACGTTTGTTGATTATTATTCGATATAGAGTTTGAGTGTGCAGACTGTTTTTGATGCACGGTATTGTGGCAGTGACCTCCTCAGCAGCAGCAGCAGCAGCGGAGTCGGGCCGTTCGACACAGTGTGAATCCAGGCCGGTGTTGTGTGTCTTCTTGTTCCATGGTCTCAGATATCAGATCCTACTGCTGCTCTCCAACGCTGCTCCCCCTGCAGCTCTCAGCTTACACTCTGCCGTGTGCCTCTTGGGGCTCTCTGTCCTCACAAACCTGTCTGTCATTACGACCCCGTCTGTCTCTTCTTAGGCCGCTCGTGGCTATTATTATTTCTCCATGACCTCTCTGTCCCCATATCTGTCCGTCTGCTATTTTTGGTCTTTCTGTCTGTCCTATAATTTCAACCTGTCTGTCCGTCCGTCCGTCTGATCTTGTGCGTGCACCTGGCAGATGAAGACATCAACCGAAGCTTTCACTGGAATCAGATCGCGCTGAACATGACTCATATGAGAAGTTGCAAACGTTAATTGAAGGTCTATACTTTAAACACTGCTGTCAGCCTGAGACAAAACGACTATTGTCAATTGAAAATAGCAGGTTTTCACAGCTTCGCCTCTTTTGTTTTCGTTCTTAAATGAGTGTAATTTAATTGCAGGTAACAGTATAAAGGTTTTAAGTCTTAATTAGGCTTTTTCAAACCTGCAAGATTATTTTAAGAAACAGGATTAAAAACAGAAAATCAGTGTTTTCTTTAATTGATTTAAAATTAAGCTTGATGCCTTAGGTAATACGTAGTCATACATAGGGGTGTGTGTGTGTGTGTGTGTGTGTGTGTGTGTGTGTGTGTCTAGCTAAGCTTGTCTGGGCAGAGGCACACCAGTGACGGCAACTCCTGAGTCATGAATGAATGAAGGCCTTTCTAAGGAGCAGATCACACCTGTCTTCTTTATCTCTGACCCTTTTTAGACAATTAAATGTTTCTTCATCCGACTGTTTGAATGTAAATGAGATAAAACACTCTGTTAAAGATTGGGATTCTCAGTCAGGCGTCATAACCAAGGCTTTGTCTTGTCTTTTGCTGTTTGAGTCTCTGGGACAGGGTGATTTTATTCGTCAGCAGTGATTTAGATATCTCTACCGGTCCTTTGATTCACGGGCTGAACCATAACACAGCAGACAGACGAGCCTTGAAGACAGGGCGAGAGATAGCATGTGGTTTACTCAGTATTTAGTAAGCACCTGAAATCCTGCCAAATAAACAATAGAGTATTTAGTTGTGTGTATTTTTAAATGACAACCCTGACGTGGTTGAAAAAGACTTTTGCGTTGGTAGCCTTGGCTTGTATGAGTGGTGGTGTCTTTCTGATCCGGGCATTGCTCAGTTTATATTGTAGATGTGGTCAGAGATACTATTCATGTGTTTTTTGTAAAGAACACTTTATCATGAAGTTTATTGGAAAACTGTTTTCATTGACCTGTGACGATATTTTCTCACTTTCCTGTAGTGGTATCTCTCTGTGCAGTCATTAGGTACTTTACTGGTATTTACATACCCAGCTCATTACAGTGGAGGTGAATGTAATTCCCCTGTGGTGCTCACAGTTTATGACTTTTTTTTTTTAATTCAACAGCAGTGGTGTTTTCCAGAAACGGTGTCCCTGTTACTTACAATCGACAGAACTTCCTGTGTACACTGGAACTACTTTCTACTGAAGAAATAGTAGTTTTCAGGGGATTATAAAGTGACATGTTCATTTGCATTTACAGGCTGTGTGCGTCATAAACACAATTGAATCCACCTCCATTGGCTTGATGTGGTGACATCTTAAAGACAAATATCTCAAAAATAGACAAAGCCAAAACTGTCTGCTTGACTAACCAGAAGTGAGTGACTAAACCTGTTTTTCTATTGATTCAAATATATAAAAACTACAGAAAACAACACGACTGGGCTTGGAAAGATTTTATTTTTCAGTCAGAACTGTAGACATCAAGTGCAAAGACGAGAACAAATGTCCTGTTAACCAGAAGAAATGACAGATTTCAGGTTTGAGAGAAAGGTCCAGACTTACAAGCAGGTCTGTGAAGCTGACCTCCAGCCTCTGTAGCACTACAGCCGGCCACCTGCATGACGCATCGGTATATTTCTGACCGTGCTATGTCTGGCTGCAAATAGTCTCAGTGTTACGTTTGTGTGGAAGCTGTCCTATCACTATGAAAGACGCATGCAGCTGTGTAGTCTATATCGGTTACAGCAACAGACAGACTTCCTTGTTTTCTTTTTTTAAATGTCTGACACATCATCGCCAAGTAGGAAGCCAATTGCCGGCTCCTGTTGCAAGCATTTGAGCTTAAAAAGTTGCGCTGTAATAAATCAGCTTAAAGCTTATTTGTGTGGTGGCTTTAAGGCCTACTTTAAGACATAAGTGACACAGTTCATGTCCTTGGTATGTGGGCGAGATCTGTGGACGTTAATCACTTTACAAGATCAATATGTTTTTATATGGAGGACATTTAGAGAGGAGAGGAGATGACACATAAACAGTAGCTTTATGTGTTTTTCCTATATTATATATTGATTTATATGTAGTTATTTGGCCACGGGTTAAGTTGTAGGACACAAACGAGTGGCGCAGTTTCCTGCTTTATGTGCATTTTGCTTTCCACCAATATATGAGGAGTCACATCCTATAAACAACAACAAAACAAGTCAACAACAGCTGCTGCTACTCAACAAAACTGTCTCTCCCTCACCCCTAATCTGTCTGGATAATGAGCAATCACACTGCGGTCGATTCACATTGAAACTTCCAGTTATTATTAATTATAATCTTAATAATATAATATTACTCTTTGCTGTCGTTTGCGTCAGTTTTTAAGTAAAAATACAACAAATGTTCTTGTGTCACCTTCTCATGTTTATCACTAAAGCAGCGGTTAATTCTCATGAGGAGGAAATCCCAAATAGTTTGTCAGACAAAGTGTTCGTCCTGCAGAGCCTCTCCACCAGCTCACTCTGTCTGTTGAAATTCATGGATATTGTAGGGAAACGGTTCAGGATCTCCATCTCTGATCTTCAGATATTCAATGACTGCAGTGTCAGAGTCGAACGACGTTGTATCCTCCTCATCGAAAGCAAAGAAGTCACTCAGACGATTGTTGTGCAAACGTGCATTGTTGCCTTGGGTTGTTAGATATTGATATTATTAAATTTTTCTAGCACTTCATAGACTAAATGATTATTTGATTCATTGAGAAAACCGTTGGCAGATGAACTGATTATGAAAATGATCATTAGTAGTTCCCTAAAACGTGAATGAAACCATCTTGTGTTTCTAGTTGTGTAAAGTAAATCACTAAATGGTCTCTTATGTGGCTGCTAAAAGGAGGTTTTACCATCTGTCACCCACACACACCTGTCTGAGCTGAAAATAGACCTCACACACACACACACACACACACGTACTACAGCAACACCTCTCTCTCTATGTTACCATGGTCACACCTGAAAACGCAGCAGAGGGGTTAATCTCCGCCACAACCAGCTGTCTGACCTCAATTCTTTTTAAATTGATCTGCCAATGATCTGTTGCTTATTCCATTTTTATCTGCGTGTTTATTCGCACCTTTACTGTTTGTTCTAATTTGGATTAACCAGTGAATTATAAACTGTTTCGTTGTTTATCCATTCAGTCCTTGACACGCCACATACCTACACTCTAAACTGAAAGTGTCCTCGTACACACACCAGCTGTGTCTCAAAGCTGACCACACCTTGGCAGACGTATGTAAATAGGTGATTCCCACAAGTAGCAGAGGGATTTTCCATCACAACCGGGTTCACTGAGGTTTTCAGACTGGAAGGAAACAGGAAAATGTAGATAAGTAGTTTACTGGAATGTTTAGTATTTGTTTGGCTGTATATCTTGGCCATAGTAATACAGAGAAGATGGAGTTGACAGCGTTATATAGTCAGTACCGCCTCATAATTTTAAGGTCCTGATACAAATGTTACTGTTTAATAAAGATTGTAAGACTGTAGGTCTGTAAGGTTATTTTCATTATTGGTGTATCCGTAGGTTATTTAGTTAAACATCAGTACACGTTCAATTTATAAGATGCTGGAACAATTAGAAAATAGCCCATTACAATGTCTCATAGTTAAAGGTGATGCTTTCAAAGTCTGACAACAAAGATATCCAGTTTGCAAAGACACAAAACTGAGAAAAGAAGCAAATCCTACTTTTTCGAACGGACCCAGCAAACACTTCTGTTCTTGATAAAGGATTATGTATTGGCAGCAGTAAGGAGCTGTAAACACAGCACGGACATATTATCGCTTTATAGAGTTTATATGGCAACTTGTTAACAGTTTATGTACACATCACCAGATAAATTTATTTGGAGTCATGTTTCTGTCCACCTGATGAATGTAAGTCCAATATGGACTCTGCCTTTGTCACCACCAACTCCTGAGGGGAAATATCTTGTTCTTTTGTACCTAAATGCTCCACTATCTTCCAACAATCACTAACTTTGTCTCTTCGCCGTTTGATGCTGGGAGAGCAGTGACAGGGAACCAAAAACGGTAAAGCTGCGAGCCGTGAAACCAAAACAATTTGCGGAAAGACCCTAAAATGCTCCATGGAGCAGAGGGGAAGTGCAGAGGTTCACCGCTACAGGCAGCGTCCTCGCTCTGCATCTGATAATCAGGTTGGTGGTAATTTGGAGACGATGGCAAATGAAAGGCAATAATTAACACCACTGAACAATGTGGATTATTCACAGCTGATGTGTGTTAATGTGTTAAACCTCCTGAATGTCTGTAGACACTTAAACACAAACCTCAACCCCCCCCGCACCTCTTCAAACCAGCAGTGTCTGTGTAACACCCCCTCCACTGCAGAGGCAGTTGTTATATAATTCTGTTGCCTCACTGACATTCTCTCTCTCTCCTCTCTGCTCCGATCTCTTCTTCCTCTCTCTCTCATCTCTTCCTCTCTCTCTCTCCTCTCTCTTCTCTCTCTCTCTCTCTCTCTCTCTCTCTCTCTCCTCTCTCCCTCCTCTCTCTCTCCTCGTTCTCTTCTCTCTCCCCTTCTCCCCTCTCGTCCTCTCCCTCTCTCTCCCTCCGTCGCCATGGTGACCCCAGCACTGCCGCAGCGGCACACTTGGCCTCATCATCTTCCCTTCTGGTGCACTCTCAGCACTCGATTTGCTTGTCAAATCGCCTGAAAGTCTGTGATTTCTCTTTGTTTATCACGGTGCCATCGGACCAAGAGCGAGAATATTTAACCCCTTGCAGTTACTAAAGCCATATTCTTTTATTTCGTTTTGAATGTTAAGCATTTAAAGATGCCAAAAGTGGACGGAGAAACTAATTTGTTTTGAGAGAAGGTGAGCGTATGTGTGTGGATAAGAGGATTTTAGTGCCGTTAAGTCCTCGCTGTCAGATCTCAGTACCTCATTACTCCATGTAACGAGGGGTGTGGTGTTTGTGTGTGTGTGTGGAAATTTCCCCTCTTTCCATATGTGCCCTCCTCCTTATCTACACCCTCTCTGCTCCCCTATCTTTCTGCTGCATAGTCTGTTCATGTTTGCCCTCTGGCTGTCCTCCACATGTACTCCTCCATCCTCTCCAATCTGTGTGTGTGTGTGTTTTCTTTTTTTTTAATAGGTTGAGTGATGTGGAAAATTAGCTGTCAGCCCGAATGTCACACAGTAAATCACTTAGATTTAATGCTAATCCGGTTCTCGGAATAGGCCATTTGTTCTCAACTGGTGGAAGCTCAGGATTTGTCAGTAAGTCGATCGTAGTGTCAGATTTTAAGAATTGCTATTTATTTTGCTAAATGAATGAAGGAGTAACTTACAGTGCCTCATTAAAGCATTAAAAGACAAAAAAAAACAGTTAATTTATGTTGCAGAAATGGATAGAAATAGGATTTATGATAAGATGGAGATCTTAAGTTGGACAGTTACAAACTGCTGAGCTCTGCTGTCTTGGAAAAGGAGGCAGGGTTGTCTCACCATTTAATAGCCGTTCTGTTTCTTTTGATTTCTTCATCGTGTAAAATATGCAGCTGCTTTGCTACAAAAAAAAGGAAAAGAAGAAATGTTGCTTTCTTGAATTGTTGCAGGGCGATTTTAGTAATACAGTCTCACCACATTTAGCTGTTCTGGAGCCTTTTACCGTATCACATGACCTTCCTTCGTCCAGTCGTCATGGAGTCGTAGAAGCATCCATGTTTTCTGAGCGCTAACGACTTCCTGTCAATGTTTGAAAATGGGGAGATTGTTTTGTCAAGGCCAAGAATGAACTTTCTATCTGGAAATCTATTAAGACAGTCCCTATTAAATGTTTTTGTTTTGTTTGTGAAATGAAAAATAAACAACCGCGTGAACTCGCAGACATAGACTTGCTGTGTTGGGACGTT